TTGTTTCTTCTCAGACGCTCAGCTCTCATCCTTTCTGCAATCATTTCTTCCTTCATTCTCATTCCCTTCCTGATGTGACCCCTGCACGATCCATGGCATTTTGTTCCGAGTTCCCTTCAATACCTGTATCATTCATGTCCCACATCTTTATATCTTAGTAGAGGTAGGTCTTGACATCTTCTTTAATTCACTGTAACTTAGATCGAGCATTGAGAAGACTACTTTTCCAATACCTCAGTAATACAGTAATATCACATACAGGACGTGTTGACTGGTGCACGGGAGTAAATATCACATACAGAACGTGTTGACTGGTGCACGGGAGTAAATATCACATACAGAATGTGTTGACTGGTGCGCGGGAGTAAATATCACATACAGAACATGTTGACTGGTGCACAGGAGTAATATCACATACAGAACGTGTTGACTGGTGCACGGGAGTAAATATCACATACAGAACATGTTGACTGGTGCACGGGAGTAATATCACATACAGAACATGTTGACTGGTGCACGGGAGTAATATCACATACAGAACGTGTTGACTGGTGCACGGGAGTAAATATCACATACAGAACGTGTTGACTGGTGCACGGGAGTAAATATCACATACAGAACATGTTGACTGGTGCACGGGAGTAATATCACATACAGAACGTGTTGACTGGTGCACGGGAGTAAATATCACATACAGAACATGTTGACTGGTGCACAGGGGCAATATCACATACAGAACGTGTTGACTGGTGCACAGGGGCAATATAACATACAGAACGTGTTGACTGGTGCACAGGGGCAATATCACATACAGAACGTGTTGACTGGTGCACAGGAGTAATATCACATACAGAACGTGTTGACTGGTGCACAGGGGCAATATCACATACAGAACGTGTTGACTGGTGCACAGGGGCAATATCACATACAGAACGTGTTGACTGGTGCACAGGGGTGATATCACATACAGAACGTGTTGACTGGTGCACAGGAGTAATATCACATACAGAACACGTTGACTGGTGCACGAGAGTAATATCACATACAGAACATGTTGACTGGTGCACGAGAGTAATATCACATACAGAACATGTTGACTGGTGCACAGGAGTAATATCACATACAGAACATGTTGACTGGTGCACAGGAGTAATATCACATACAGACTGGTGCACAGGAGTAATATCCAGTAGATATAGTGCTTTGTTTAGGTTTTAAAGAGTCAATAAATAAGTAAAATCCTACCTAAACTTTTGGGCAACCTTACAATACCAGTTGTGCATTGGGCATATAACTCACACATGTATAGACCAAGTGGTCAAGATCATGCCAGCCACCTTTACTTCCCAGGACTTTTCCTGGAACCCATTTTATGCTGGATCAATCTGTGAGCCAAGGTCATGTCTGGAAAAAATCTGACTCATTGCTGAACTGAACTCAAGATTTTTGAGATGGAACGTCTACAAGTTTTAGGTTAGGTATATGCTATTGATGTCAGTAGGCCAGTTAAATATTTCTCAAATTTTCCAAGTCAACACGTGTGAAAAAATTTATTTTTTAAATGCTAGTATATTTCATATGTTGTGGTCAAATCTGGACAACACACGTATTTAACATGATGTTCAGGCGGCATACAACTTCATTTAGCATTATATCTAGCACACAAACACCTTTTTTATTGTAGAAAAAAAAAGAACAGAAAATAAGATTATGTTCACTGTCTTTAATTCAAGAAACTCTGACATTAATTTCATACATCATTTATGCTGGTTTCCATGTTTATGTCCGCTGCACACATTCTGATTAATTACACCATTCAAACCTCAAAAGAAAAGATTTCCATATTAACATTACTGAAGATTTTTTTTTCTTGTCCTGTTGTTCTAGTAAATGCCCTCATACAATCTCCCCTTTTTTTTATGTATCTTGTCATGTCATCATTATTAGGCTATGAGGCTCCCAGATAGCTCTGTGTGACTGCTTATCTCTTGTAGCCAATGTTGTGTCTGTGTATTTGACAAAAAATATGGTAGTTTTAAAGGATACGTTTCGCCATTTGCTCTACTATTTTCAGTCAGCATAACTGCTGCTATTGAAGGCATGCTGTTAGACCACATTTTCACATTTATAGAACTGCTTCTGTCCCCTAGCTATTTTGAATAAACTCTCTGCCAATTATGCCAGCACTGTGTTATCAAAGCCCTTAGGGGAAGCAACTTTCAATGCCTGTCACAAGTCCAGGGGGCATAACATCCAAGTGTCCTCTATTATTTCTGAGTTACATCCCTTGTTATTCACAGCATTTTTCTGGCTAGTATTTATTTCTGGTGGTGACACTTGTTTGACAACGGCGACCAGGTCGTCCACTAGCTCACTCGTAGACGACTTCGTCGCCAGTCAGGACAGTATTTGGGCTAATCTTTGATCGCATCATCACTGCAGCATTGAGTCCTTTGCAGGGTTCTCAGGGGTATGCAATACTAAGCTATTTCATATGGCGCATATAACCCTAGTCACAATAATAACCAAAAGCTCCCCCTATCGGGAATGCCGGTTGAAAGATTTTTTTTATTTGAGCAAAGCAAAAAGCAACACTTGTCAGAGATTCCACTGGTGAGACAGATAGGTGATTCCTCTCGGAAATCCTTCAGTTAAGTGATTTTATGTATTTTTGTTTTCATTTGAGGTATTGTAGTCACGTAATGTGCTGATGAGGGCTTTGTAACCACAACATTTACTTGCTGTTTGTGATGTCAAGATTGCAGGTTTCACATGTGGTTTCATATCTTTTGAGGTCTGTCACAAGAAGTGACTAAGGCAGGCTGACATGTGACAAGCTGCCTCACCCTATAGAAAATCTCTGCTAGAAATGTTAACCGGCAATAAACAAAACTGAACAGCAAGAGATATACCAACCAAAACTAAGCAAGACAACAGACAGCTCATTTTTCTAGATGTTATAACTTGATGCCAACAAAGCTGTAGGGCGTCTTGACAGCCAACTTTTCCCTTTTTTTCACCTAGGAAAATCTCCCAGAAGTCTCACCTAGAATGACTTGAGTAAGTATAAAATGGGGAAAGATAACACACAAGCAGTAACAGCAATGATAATTACATAAAGCAACACTGTTTGGTCTGTAAAAATATGGTCTAACATGATATCCTATTTCACTGTCATCAGTCTCTAATCCAATGCCTAGAGGAGTGAGTAATTATACACAAAATGAAACACAGCTCTCTCTCCATTATCCTAATATCAGTGTCTGCATGCAACAGCTGTGCAACAGACGACGACAGCTGCACAAGTTAGGTGACAGTCTATCATTCCTACAATGGCAGCCACCATGATGTAGCAGCTAGACGTTCGCCTTGCAGATTGGAAGGTCGTAGCTACATGCATTGAACTGAGATCTTTCTGTGTAAGCACCAAGGAGAGTATCATCCAGATTTAACGTAAACCCCGGCTTGCTAGTGTAGTTCGCTAAACCTGACTTTGCTGTGATCAGGTGATGAACTCCTTGTGGTCCGGGTTCACTCCCGGGGGTAGGCAGAAAAGCCACATTGCCCTCAGATTTACGGTACCTATATGGAATCAAGGCCGAAGGGTTGCGATATCCATAGCACTGAGCCAAAGGGTTAACAACTCATGGTTTCTGGATAGTTGAAAAAAAACATGTGGAAATGTCCGTTGCACAAATGTGACACAAATTCTAAGGTAATAAAACACAATACAACCACTGCCATAAAACTACAAAAGATCAAAAGTGGGGGGAAGGTAATGACAAAATTAGTGCATAAAGAGTACAAACATTTAAAAATTAAACAAGAATTAACACAGAAAATAATTCTTAGGACACTTCATCTGACTTGGATCCTTTGACACCTTCACATTTTACTCTTTTCCCCTTTAATGTGGTGTTCTGCCATAGTGAGATTTCACTTCTAATCAAATTTATCTCACTGTCTTTTCCCATCTAATTTGGCATTCTGCCATAGTGAGATTTCACACTTCTAATCAAATTTATCACACTGTCTTCCCCTCTAATTTGGCATTCTGCCATAGTGAGATTTCATTTCTAATCAAATTTCTCTTTCTCTATAATGGTATGTTCTAGTGAGATTTCCCTTCTAATCACATTTCTCTCAACAACACAAAACAAAAATACATTCAATATATAACTAAGGAAACATGTTAAATTGGATGTATATTTAATATACTGTGGGTTGGCATCATGAAAGTTCATTGTATCATTGTTTGTTCACATTGTTCTCACTGTCCCGCATAGACCTTCCCATTTCTTTTTCCCTAAAACTGTTGCCTTGATCAAATCATGTGGATTATATAGTTAAACCAATAACCAGCATTTGTTAGGACCTTCTGTTTCAAAAATCTTCATCTCACTCTGTACAAAGTGCTTTCAAAATTCTTCCTCAAAAGCAGAACTCTGCAGCCTCCATGTAATTTCTCTTTGATAACTGTCAGATGCTACTCACATACGGCTCTAATCAACACGTTTTATCAAGTCTGCAGGCAGTTTTCCTTGACACAAAAAAAGCCATTATTCCCTTCATATAGTTCAGGCTATGCTTCTCTGAATTGTTACCCTGGGCTAGCAACACACACACTTGTTCGCACCCACTTCAGTTAATGATGTCAAAAGAAAACCACCAGAGGATAAGTCTATGAGTATGAGAATAATCTGAAATAAGATGCAAACATGGCTACAGAGGAAAATCGAGTGACATGATCAGATGAATCTGACACAACTCTTTTGACAGTTAACGAAAACATTGTAAACTATTTTTGACAAATAAGAATTTGAACAACTCCACTCTAATATACAAATTAATATTATCAAATCCCATTTTTTTCTCTCTTGTGTGTAAATATGAACAAGCAAAACTACTTTCCTCATTCTTTTTAATATAGCTTTTTTTTTCTCAAATGCAAACTCAAGTGACAGCATCATCCAACTCACAACCCCCCACTCAAAACCTGTTTAATTCCTTAAATATATTGTCTCTGGTTGCACAATACCCCCTGTCAGCTCCTCCTCCACCCCTTCTAGCTGCCACTCATGGGTGACAACTTCTAGCGCCTCCCACTCTGCTTTAAAAGCTTTCATTGGATCTGGTGGGGCCATCATAGCTGACCCAGACATTTGGTCCTGCATGGCTCTCGTCTGATCTGCGGCTGAACAATAGATGTTGAAAAAACAGACTGTAAATATCAATGGAAGAAATACATTTTTCACAAATCTTTAAAACTATACTGCTTTCTTACCTTAAAAATGGCCCCTACTTCCTCTTCTCTTTCTTCTTGGCGTGCATTGACTGTAAACTCTGGCAGAAAGTTCTGGGCTGTTCCCCCTTCTGGATGTTAGTTTCAGAATCTTGAGTTATGTGTGCACATCTATTTCACAGATCTGGTGTATTTGTATGCAGACCGTTGGTTCCTTGCCTCTCTGGCAGATGCACTCCGACATCAAAGGGAGTAACCTTAACCAGTTGCCTTGTACAACATGCTTGTTGGGGGACTGTGGGTTCATTCTTTTCCACCCAAAATGGGGCCCCGGGACCCAAATAGGGCTAATTGCCCTTACCGAAAAGAAACACGCTTATCCTGCAAATGTAATGACACTGAAAAGTAACAGCTTGGAAGAGCAGGTAGCACAGTGGCAAGATACTGATCAGCTTACCAGGGCCTCACAATTCCTCTTTCATCCTCCTCTTTTCAATCATCTTTATTTTTAATTGGGGGAAAAGAGGGGGGGGGGGGACCCTTGCCATATATTCAAGAGAGGTGCCACCTGAAAAAGTGTGATAACCACTGGCCTGCTGTGAGTAAGTTATACACAATATCAAAGTGTACATGCTACATTACTTAATACCTCTCTCTTCACTGCCTGTATTTATAACCTGGTAATGTAGGGTGGGCAGGGAGAGGAGTGTGAGCCTGAGGAGTTAAGGTGACATGGCTAGTACAGTGGCAACCAGCGGTGCAGGTAAAGATTTGTATTTTGTACCTAACAGAAGAAAACTGCCATCCCTTATTGAGGATTGAGCTTAGGTCTTCCGCATGAGAAACAAGCACTCTAACCACTCAGCCAGCCACTCCTCCACCCAACGCCTAGAGTGAGTAAATTATATACTCAGTCTTCATCTTAGTGTTCACAGGCTGGTTGTTCTTCCACTTCTGGACTTTGGTCCTGTTCCAAAACTTGAGTTTTGCGTGCACATCCTTTTTACAAGTCTGGCTTATTTTATATGCACACAGTTGCTTTTAATGCCCGTCAGGCAGATGCCATCCGACTTCAAAGGAAACACCCAAAAATGAGTCGCCGTTTATGGCATGCCTGTTAAGGGAAGCAGATTGCACCAATGAACATGCAACAATAGCCACAAAAACACTACAGCGGGCTACAAATGCACTTGAGGCATGGGCCAATAGATGGTGTGTCAGTATCAACACAGACAAATGTAGCACCACACTCTTCACCCTCTCCCCAAAGCAAAAAGCCGGCACCATCAAAATAAACGGAATCCCCTAAGAGATAATAAAGAGCCCACATACCTAGGAGTCACATTTGATGACAGGTTGACATGGAGAAAACATATCAACAAGGCAGCAACCAAAGCCAGGCAGCAATACTAAGAAAACTAAGTGGAACCACATGGTCAATAAAGTATCAAGCAGAGCATACTTCCACACTTGGAATATGGGTCAACTGCAATCTAGTACCACATTAAAGGAGTTGGACAAATTGCAAAATCAAGCGCTCAGAGTCGTCACAGGAGGGATGAAATCAACCCCCATATTAGAAATGGAGAAAGCTGGGAAAACACAGGCACTGAGAGAATGCAGAGATACAAAGTTGCAAATACAAGCTAAAAAGTTCCTCAGTATGCCAGATCACCCGATGGAAAATAGATTTAAGAACCTAGCCTTGGGACGGTTAAAAAGAAGCAGCTTTATATACCAAGCAAAAAGAATATGTAGACAAACTCCTGACCTTCCAGAAATTGGTTAACCACTTAAAAGTATTCCGGAACAAACCCCATGGAGAGAAAAATGCAAACTAACAGTGAAATCCAGACAAATGTGAAAGGGATATTTGACAAGAAAGAGCAAGATAGCAGAATGGCCACCCTCAGTTATATTGATTAAAAATACCCACAAGAACAATGGGTCAGAGTCTATACAGATGGGTCCACAGAAAGTGCAGTTAGAAATGGTGGTGCTGGAGTGTACATAGAATTCCCAGATGGTACTAGGGATAAGTCCAGCGCACCAACCGGGAAGTACTGCCATAACTATGAAGCAGAAACTCAAGCTATCAAGATAGCAACAGAGAAACTGCTAAATACCAATCTTGGCTCACAGTATGTGGTAATGCTGACAGATGCTAAATCCGTACTTGAAGCACTCCAGTCTAGGAAACTACCAGAATTGCAAACACTGCCGACACAACTCAGCCTTCAGCGAAGAGTCGTAATGCAGTGGATACCGTCTCATTGTGGAGTGCCTGGAAATGAGAAAGCTGATCAACTGGCAGGGGAAGGTGCGACAAAAGAGCAGCCGGATGTACCAGTCACATACCACCAAAAGAAAAGAATCATTAAATCGATCAGGAAACCACCAGCCCCAGCACAAGACGACTATTTTATTATGGACAGACAAGAACAAGTCATTATCCTCCGCCTCAGAACAGGGCACAACCGATTACGCAACCACATGTACACAAAATTCAAGATAGGTGTATCAGCCATGTGGAAATGTGCCCCAGACAGCAGAGCAGGTACTCCAGGACTGCACCGAATTTGACACATTAAGGCAAACCTTTTGGCCAGAAAGAACAACAGTGGAACGTAAACTCTGTGGATCACTGAATGAACTAACAACGACAGCGAAATTTATACAAGAGACAAAACTGTTGATATAGACAACTTATTTCAGGCGAACGAAAGAAGAAGAAGAAGAAGAAGAGGGAGCAGATGGTCCCAAAAAGAGGCCCCAGAAGTTACAATGAGAATACCCAAAGTGAAATTAAGTTCTTACCATTATCCTGTCCTAAGATCAGTGTGTACATGCTGCGCAGCCCAAACACATTCAGGAAGTACCAGGAGGCGGAGCTCACCCTGTAATACAAAACATGAGCAGACTAGTTATGCATGTGTGGCTGGTATCTTGTAATGTGATTTGATGTAGTAGTCATAGCAGTTGAGGTTTCAACTTCACACAGTCGCTCCATTTCTGTGCCAGTGAAAATCACATGAAAAGCTCATCACTATCCCGTATGAAAACTGGTACATCAACAATTGGTCCAGAAAAATCCAGAAACATGCATAGGCAGTAAATGCATTAGGCCACTGCTAGAGATGCCAACACAAACTGTGGCTATCAAAACATTGGTTTGTTGTTAATGGAAGTAGTCAGGCCATAAGCTGGCCATAAGTAAAAGTCCTTTTACACACCGTGGTCCATTGGGCAAATGAGGCCAGACTCGTATAGACCAACCAGCCCTAGATGGGTGATGTGGTCAACATCGAGCCGGCCGACTTTACTTCTCTGGACCAGTGTCCTTTCCTCACCTCCTGATTAGGTGCAATTTGTTTAGTTCGATGGCAAAGCTCTACATCAGTGATTCTGTCATACCACTTAATTCCCTCTATTCTGCAAAGGCAACAGTTAATGAATGTTTCTAGATTATTATCAACAGCTTTGAGGTCAGAATGCATCTGCCTGTGAGGCTAAGAACCAACAGTCTGCACACAAATGAGTCAGCTCTGTCAAACAGATGCACATGCAACACTCAGGTTCTGAAACATGACTGCAGTCCAGAAGTAGATGAACAACCAGAACATTCCGCTTTCATGTAATTACAGCTGGTGAACAAGAAGAAGTTTTCATAACAGTCTATATTTTGTTTTGGCAGTATAAGAAACATGCCAAGGCACTGATAGTGTATGTAATCCACTTATTAAAAAAAATTTATGAAAACAAAAATGAAATCTCTGGGGTACATCAAAAGACTAGGTGGAATCTAGAAACTAAGCAGAGAAATTAGCTTCAGAAGGAAACAATAAGCCTATAAATGTATCTATACAATAACAGATCTATACTAAGCTTACAGAGAATGCTATGGGATATGTGGCACATATGACAGTGATCACAGACAGATCATGTGCCAGCTGATCTATAGAATAAAGGGTCTGGCAGGTTCCTAACCCCTGGGCCTGCCCCACATGTGAAACCCTACCAGTAGATATGATAAAGCTGGCACAGCTCTTGCAGTCATTGAAACACATAAGCCATTCTACCCCAACAAGGCAGACACACATTAGAAGAGACATTTAAAACAATAAAGGACCCTTTGCATGCTAGTGGCGCAGCAGGCATATGAGTCTAGGCTCATTTCATTTTAAAACAGATTAACTGACTTTCATGGGTGATGTGATCAGCCGTTTTTAGTTTCCAGGACTTTATTTGTGCCCATTTTATGCTGGGTCAAACTGGGAGCCAAGGACTTTATTTGTGCCCATTTTATGCTGGGTCAAAGTGGGAGCCAGGGACTTTACCTGTGCCCATTTTAGGCTGGGTCAAAGTGGGAGCCAGGGACTTTACCTGTGCCCATTTTAGGCTGGGTCAAACTGGGAGCCAAGGACTTTAACTGTGCCCATTTTAGGCTGGGTCAAACTGGGATCCAAGGACTTTACCTGTGCCCATTTTAGGCGGGTCAAACTGGTATCCAAGGTTATTTCAAGAAAAAATCTAGCTCTAAGTAGAATTCGCCCGTGTGTCACTGGGGCCCTCACGGGAAGCAAAGAATAGTGACACTGCACCCTACCAGGCATGTCGTAAGAGGCGACTAAGGGTAGGGTTGGGCTTGAGGTTGGCTACCTCATCCTGTAAAAACCATAGCCACAAAAACCAACCAACCATGGATAAGTCAAAAAGAGAAGCAAATGAAATCCAGCCAACCAAGATGAGGGGAGGCTCTTTAAATAGAAGAAGAATGACACGGTGAGGAGAAAGCCATAAGGAGTCTAGATCGTTGACGTACCTCCTCTCAGCTAGGAAAACCTCCAGAATTGGCACCTGGAATGTTAGAACTCTCTATGATATAGGGAGAACAATGGAAGTAGCAAAGGAAATGAAACATTATAAAATTAGTATTTTAGGGTTATGTGAAACTAGATGGACTGGGGCAGGGAAAAGTATTCTAAATTCAGGAGAAACTATTTTGTTCTCAGGACACACAGAGGAAAATTCGCCGCACAGTGAAGGAGTGGCCCTGATGCTATCAAAAGAAGCAGACAGAGCACTAATAGAATGGGAAGCTGTGAGTCCCAGAATAATAAGAGCATCTTTTAGAACAGTTAAACAGAAGGTGAACATCTCGGTAATACAGTGTTATGCACCAACAAATGATAAAGATGCATCTGTTAAGGAAGAATTTTATATGCAGCTTCAAAATATTATAAATAATTAAAGAAAGGGCAACTTAAAAATTTTGATGGGTGACTTGAATGCTAAGATAGGATCAGACAACACAGGTTATGAAGAAATTATGGGGAGACATGGTCTAGGAGTAATGAATGAAAATGGAGAATTGTTCACAAATTTGTGTGCAGGTAACCAGTATGTTATTGGTGGAAGTATTTTTCCCCATAAAAGAATACACAAGGCAACATGGGAATCACCAGACCATAAGACAACTAATCAAATTGACCACATATGTATTAACAAAAAGTTTAGATCATCCCTTTACGATGTTAGGGCTTTCAGAGGTGCTGATGTATTTACTGACCATTTCCTGGTGGTAAGTAAAATCAAGTTGAAACTAAAAAGATATATAACATCTTATAATCATAGAAACCAATATAATGTAGGCTTTCTCAGAGATAAAGAAATTAAGGAACAGTTCTCAGTTATGGTCTCTAATAAGTACCAGGTGTTGCAGCAGTTAGCTGAAGATGTCAACACAGAAGTCTGCTGGGATCAGATCAAAGGAATCTGGAATGAATCTTGCGTCGAAGTTCTTGGCAAGAAAGAAAGGAAACATAAAGCATGGATAACACCAGAAACCATTAAACTGATTGAAGATAGGAAAAGTAAAAAGGCAGAATTAAACAATAGCAAAACTAGAGCTGCTAAAGCTAGAGCTCAGGAGAAATACACAGAAGCTAACAAGGAAGTTAGGAGGCATATAAGGGCAGATAAAGTGAAATATCTAAATGATCTAGCACAAGAAGCGGAGACAGCAGCAGCAAAAGGAAACCTCAGAGAACTTTACAGTAACACAAGAAAATTAGTAGATAAATATAGTCAGCCAACTGGATCAATAAAAAAATGGTCAAGGAAAAGTACTTACTAACACTAAAGATCAAATGGACAGATGGGTGGAATATTTTGACATGCTTCTAAATAGACCAGGCCCAGAGGTTCCCCCAGACATCCAGCCTTTAGAAATGGAACTGGATATCAACTGTGAGATACCATCCAAAGAGGAAATTAGAAAAGCTATTAATCTTCTCAAGGAAGGAAAGGCGGCAGGCCCAGATGGTATCCCAGCTGAAGCCATCAGGACCAACATAAACACATCAACAGAATTGCTTCATAGATTATTCAGTAAAGTCTGGGAGGCCGAAGAAATACAAGTGAACTGGAGAGAAGAATATCTTGTGAAACTGCCCAAAAAAAGGTGATCTACAGGAGTGTGAAAACTATAGAGGAATTATGTTGCTGTCAGTTCCTGGAAAAATATTAGGTAGAATTATTTTGGAAAGATTAAAAGATACTATTGATAAAATGCTAAGAGATGAGCAGGCAGGTTTTTGGTCAAACGGATCCTGTACTGATCAGATAGCCACATTACGTATTATAATAGAGCAAAGCATTGAACTGAACTCACCACTTTACATTGGATTTATAGACTATGAAAAAGCATTTGACAGCATTTATAGGGAATCTCTCTGGAAATTGATGGGGGCACTATGGAATCCCACAGAAAATTATCAACTTAGTAAAGGCAACATATAAAGACATGAAATGTCGAGTTCTTCATGAGGGAAAGCTAACAGATGCATTTGAAATAAAAACAGGTGTGCGACAGGGATGTCTTTTGTCGCCTCTCTTATTTTTAATGGCTATAGACTGGACTATGAAAACAGTAACTGCTAACACCAAGAATGGAATTCAGTGGACCCCTACAAAACAGCTTGATGATCTGGACTTTGCTGATGATATTGCTCTTCTGTCCCATTCACGGAATCAGATGCAAGATAAATTAAATATACTTAATGCGAGATCACAGCAGCTTGGTCTGAAAATCCATAAAGGAAAGAAAAAGATAATGAGAATAAATCAGGCAAATAGTAATGTGGTTTCTCTTAAAGGCACCCCACTCCAAGACGTGGAGTCTTACACCTATTTAGGCAGTAATGTAGATAAAGATGGAGGAACTGATAGAGATATTAAAATAAGAATACAAAAGGCAAGAGGGGCTTTCATAGCACTAGGGAATTTGTGGAGGTCAAAAGAAATTAAAAGAAATACTAAACTAAAAATTTTTAATTCTAATGTCAAATCAGTACTATTGTATGGGGCGGAAACATGGAGAACAACGAAGGCAATTACTAATAAATTACAGACATTCATTAACTGGTGCCTGCGCAGAATAGAGGGAATAAAATGGTATGATAGAATAACTAATGTAGAACTTTGGGAGAGAACTAAACAGGCTCCAGTGGATCAGGAGGTGAGGAAAAGACGCTGGCGTTGGATAGGGCACACACTTGAGAAAACAGGAGAACAGCATAACTAGAATGTCTTTGCAATGGAACCCACAGGGGCATAGGAATAAAGGAAGGCCAAAAAAACACATGGAGAAGAGAGCAGGAGAATGAGGTTAGAAAGATTGGGAGGACATGGGGAGAGCTCCATGCAATGGCGAAGGATAGAACGACTTGGCGTGAGTTGGTTGAGGGCCTATGCTCCATTGGGGGATAGAAAGGCAGAAGAAGAAGTAGAAATAACCTATGATGGGGCATCTAGCGGCTTCACTTCTGGAGAAGACATTTACAGGCTATACTGATACTGACAAACCAAACATGTTTACAGGTGTATGTGATCACAAGCAATCCATTACATAACTCTTACCAAGATGCATCAAGTGTGATTAATTCCACTCCTCGCTGCAACATGGGCTTGAACCTAAATGTTAATGGGAACGGCACTTTTGCTGTGGATAATAAATGGAAAAAAATATTGTACGAGAATTCTATAACAAAAGCAAGAATTCTAAAACAGAAGCAAGAATTGTATAAAAAAGCAAGAATTCTATAATAGAAGCAGAATTATATAACGGAAGCAAGAATTATATAACAGAAGCATGAATTATATAACAGATTAACAGAAGCATTCTGTATAAAATTCAATAGGATTTACAAAAGAACACAAAAATTCTCTTTACTAGAGGACAGGAAGATGTATTAATGATAATCTTGATCCCTGACATCATTGCTGTATTTCCTTCCCGGTGAACATTCTTCTATCAAATATATTTTAGCAGTGTGTTACAGAGAGAAGGTAGATAAGAGAGTGATAAAAACTACATGAAAGATATGAATGGGAGTAGACCCCAAAGCAGACCAAGAAGATGATGAAGGGATAATATACAGGCAGTTGTACAAACACTTGCAGTCACCAACCGGAAAGTAGAAGGCCAATCACAGAGATGAATGGAAGCAGGCAACATACCTGCAAGGTTCAGAATGCTATAAAGATAAAGAACAAGCAGTGCGTTATGTCTTTGCATCAAACCAAATGATCTCATTTTTTAAATTCTGATAAAATTATTAACCTTCAGTTCACGTATAGTGTGCTTTATATATAAACTATCTGTGTGTTTATTTACCAGCCAACAGAAGACAAACTTACTTGTTAAAAATCCTGAAAAAGCCCAGTTGATCCAGCCACCAATGATAATCATAGGCAGAACATTAGTCACATTGCCTTTCATCATGTCTGTCATCATTGTAGGATCTGGGAAGTTAAATGAAACATCTTCAATTAAAGAAACTGCACAACCACATATGTCATGTTTAATTCTTTAGGACCTGAGCAAAACTGTGAGTGTTGATTGAGAAGTTCCAATCTGCCTAAACAACACTGTCAGCGTTGATCGTGTGTCCTATAAATATGGTTTCGCATACAGCGTCCTATTTGTTTCTGATGTTAGGAACTACTTTTAAAGTATTCAGTTAAGGTTACTCTAATGTCTTCCTTTGAATAAAATTCTGGGTTCCAAGCCATGTGGACGCAGATTGTTTTGATTCAGTTTCTGACATTCAGACTTCTTTTAAAGTATTCAGTTAAGGTTACTCTAATGTCTTCATCTGAACAAAATTCTGGGTTCCAAGCCATGTGGACGCAGATTGTTTTGATTCATAGCTAGTATTTTTTTTTCAACAGTGCATTTTCTAAGTTCATGTTCAGTTGCCAACGTTCTAACAACAAATCTAGGCCTCAAAATGCCTTTCAGGACGAAGCTTTGAAATTGTTTCAGTCAGATGTTTTTAATTCTAATAATGATAATGAAAGTTAAGATTTTTCAGAAAGTGATTCAGACGAATTTAAGCCTGTGACAGCTAAGCAATCAGCTAATAGGGAATCTAACAATTCTGACGAGTCTGACACAGACAATGTCCCACTGTTACCATATTTAGGGTGTAAGAGAAGCAAAGTGCTCAGGACAAATAGATACTACTATACTATTGTTGTAATCTTATTAGCCAAGAGTTAGTTTCTTCTAGTGGTCACAGGACAGGTGAAAAGTTCAACAGCGGCCACGGGTCGGGTCGTTACCTGGGATACGAGCTAATTGAATTCTGGGCGATTAACACAAAGGCTCCTGCAGAACACAAAGGATTCTGTAGTCAAGATATTTCCCTTGTCCAAGTCGGACGTTCCCTCTTTGTGAGGTTTGGATTAACCGTTGCTTACCGGAGACAGTTTAATGTCTATTTATTTCTTATAATGGCAGGAGTACATTGAGAAAGATTGTATATCATAAGAGTAGATAATGGAAATGTATTATCGTACATGTTTATTGAATAATCATCATCATCTTGTGACGTGTAACTTTAATGCCATTAAAGTTTATGTGGCTTGTCACAAGCGTTATTGTTGACTTGTAAAGATAACAACTGTATTACATGATGCTGTGCCAAGTGTGCCAGTTATAGTATGCAGGACTTCACTGTAGCACATCCATCAAGGAGATATCCAGCGGAATGTTGAATAGGCACCCTAGGCCTAAATACTTGGTTCTTGAAGATACAGTGTACAACAGAGTGTACAACAAGTGTACAACAACTATGGCTAAGCTACATTTAGATCATTGCAGCTACAGTCTGTATATAACTGTACAAAGTAAATATTGTATGTAATGGTACATTTGTCTGCCATTTTTCTTTGAAATTTTGTTCAGCATTCTATTGAAACTTTGAACCCCTGAGTGCTAAATTAACCCATAAACTTATCATAACTTTGAAATTTGTTAGGAAATTGAACAAACTTCAAAGTGTTATTCTCAAATTTGGGTATTCACTGCTCTTGTGGCTGAGAAACCACGGTAAGTGAAGAATTTTTGAGGTAAAATTTTGTTGTGAAACTGACACCTGGTGAATTCGTCTTTCCTGCTAACTATAACAGTTTTAAACATACACTCATCATCAGATTCAAAGTGTACACTCATTTCTTTTTACAAAAATATATACTTTAATAGGGATTAGAAGTACATTACACTCTCTGTTGCCTTTTTTGTACACCCCCCCCTCTGCCATTTTTGTCAAGGGAAATTAATGTGGGCCAAGTGTGTCAAAATTCATGGGCCTGAAAGAGTTCAGTAAAAAAAACCTTGTTATGCCCATGGTAGGTATCTTCTTCTTGGTGCTGACCAGCCAGTCAACTCTGGCAAAAAGTTTTGTTTGTTTGTTTTTCTTCTTCTTCTTAGCATTCCCTAGATGTAAACTCTGGCAGAATGCCTTGTTTGTCCATCCTCCTTCCTTTTCAGCAATATCTGGTCATGCGCTTAATCCACTGTGGACCATCAACTGGGAATTCTTCTTTTTCTTCTTCACGTTCACCAGCTTTAAACTCTGACGGAAAGTTCTGGCTGTTCATCCACTTCTGGACTGTAGTCCTGTTCCAGAACCTGAGTGTTGCGTGTACATTTGCTTTACAGATATGACTTATTTGTATGCAGATTGTTGGTTCCTTGCCACTCAGGCAGATGCACTCTGACTTTGAAGGAAGCTCCCAATTAGTCGACTCTTACGACATGCTTTTGGGAGGGCAGTGGGTCTATTCTTGTTTTCTCTATAATAGGGCCTTGGAACCTACACATGGAAAACTGCTCATACCTAATTTACACGAGTGTTTGCAGAGTCTGCAGTGTCCAGTGCATAAGCAACAAACAAAAAAACTGTGACTCTGTCAACTGTATTCAGAAGTTTGAGGAAACTTTTTTCATGGTTACAACCTGTGTTAGTTTTCCAATCTATTTCTTGTTTTCTCTTAATGAGGATTATGACTTCTAAATCCATTAGGCACGAATTAGAACCCTAGTCCTTCAGAACACTGTTGTTAGCCGTGGCAATGTTTTTTGCTTCTGCCAGACATTTTTTGCTCCATTTGTAGACTGAAAGGATAGTTTCGTCACCCAGCTTCTGAGCTGAGTGCATGGCGTGACACTGTGAGCTGCTGATTTCATTTGGAATGTTTGTCTACTGTGACAAACATGGTGGTGTGAATTGTAGATTCAGAAAATGGCGCGATGAACGTTGTCGCAATATTGGTGGCGCCATTATGTGATTAAAGTTGATCGCGTGTGCAACTGCTGATCTGTTGGTGACTTCTGGTACCATCCATGATAAACTGCATTTCTAATGTCGGACTGTTTGGGTTAGCACTTTGGATGGCTACCTTATGCTTTTATTGCATGTGTATGCTAGTGCATATGCTGAGACAGCAGTCTGTCAATCTTTCCACAAGGGACTGATAAACATTCTGTGTGTTTTTCGTTGGCACAGGAGCGGAGAGAATCGGAACATTGCCTATTATTGAAGTCTTGACTTTTATTTGTGTCTGCTCTGTGGCTAAGTTGATGCGGACGCTTCGTAATGCCAGGATCAATCCCAGCCGCAGGCCAGGCACCTTGCATTGGTTTTGACAGTGGTATCCAAGAATCCGACAGTCCAGAAAGCAATGGCAAACTACTAAACGTAATTTGCTAGAAAAAACCACACAACAGCCAGGGGCTGTTGGGGTTGGTTCTGCAACGTCCTGTAAAGGATACGCAACTAACCTTAACCTTTTATTTGTTCATGAGGTGTTTAAAGAGTTATTATGTATTGGACAGGAGGCCATTTTGTCAGCAAAATCCAAATCATCAGCTTGTTCTGACAAGTTAGTTAGTTGTATATCCTTTTCAGGACATTTGTCAGCTGCTGTGTGCTTTTACTAGGCAACTTTCATAACCTGAGCAACCCAGGTTTGAATCCTCGGTAGGGTTATGGTAGTGTCTGTTTTTTTTTTCTGTCAGGGGAGAAGATAAGCCTGCACAGTCTGTGGCGACTGCACTAGCCTTGTGGCCTTAAATCCTTAGGCTCATGATCCACACCCTGGTCTACACTGCCCTAAAGTGGTAAATAAATGCGGCAAAATACAGAAAGGCAGTTTGCCACTGCGTTGAGAAGATTCCATTGAACTGTTCAGTGGTTTTATCACTCATAGTGGCTAAATATAAGAGTTATCAATGCTGGACAATTAAATGACTTCACCTGACGTCTAAGTAAAGATAGTTGTGTATCCTTCATAGCAGGTTGCAGAACCAACATCAGCATTGTTTGGCAGACCTGTGATTTTACTAGCAATTTTACGTTCAGTAGCTGCTTTCTGAATGGTCACCCCTTGATACTATTGTCAATATTAATACAGAGCAGTCTGCTGTCAAATCATCTGCAGCTGGAATCGAACCAGGTATCTCAGAATTACAAACTGTGTATGCAACGACTAAGCCACAGATGCTGACCTCTAAGTTCAGGCTTTAAATTAAGGAACATAAATTATCAGCCTCAATTAGTCACACATAATCAAAACAAGTGCCTTGTGGGAGAGCATGTACAGTTCGGAGGAGCAGATGGATCTCCACTGGTAACATTGAGGCAGGTGGGAGTGAAGCTCAGAGGAAAGGCAAGACGAACATTTAATCAGAACTCTACTGGCACCACTAGTATTGGAACTCTGCACTGGCTGCTGAAGATGGGGATGGAGCGCTTATGGAAATGCCCCGAGTGCTGTGATGTCAGTCATTGAATCAACTCAACTCAACTCAACTTGCCATATCTCCTGCCTTGTGTGCTTTCCTACCCAAGTGTCACATATCCTGTGCCCATCTTCATGCTTTTCAACCACTGCACTTCCTGGCACCATGCCTTCTGCCACTATTCTTTCCAGTCTCCCGTGGTGCCCCATACTGTCAAATAATTCAGTTTCTGAAACAAGATGCTGTGAACTAGGCAATCTTCCTTGATGTTCAGATCTTTTAAGATATATCTTTTCTTCTTGGTCCATGATATTCTGAAAAATTTTCTATACTTCAATGCTTCAGGAATTTAAAAACTTGATCATATCAACAGCTGTTTTTTTTAAATTCTGCATCTGCCTTTCAAAGAGCAGTTTGCACAGTGTGTTGTTGTTTACAGTTAGGCTACAATATTTGTACATTTTAGCCAATAACATCCAAATTTGTAGAAAACCCTTAATTGGTTGCCTTTGACTATATGATTGTAGTGAGTTATGGTGGCAGTGGGTCTATTTGTTTCCCAACTATAAACTGCCCCCCCCCCCCCCCCCCTTTCAACTCAATTACCTGTCATTGGATTTTTGGCCTGAGATTCCCTCTTTTCTGTCTTAAAGAATCCTCGCTCTTCATTGTTGAAAAAGCTTTTCCTGGTCAGAAAAGACTGCTTTGGAATGTACTTTCCATTTTCACGCAGAAGACGACTGCGAATAAGGGCATGGCTAAAAATAAAAATATATATATATACAGAAATATACAAGTCAAGTGAAAAAATGTTCAATATAATCTGTAATGTACTTCATTTTCAATAGGTTAGCCACATGTCTATGAGAGATGTGATTATTGAGAAGATTGTTGCAAATACCTTTGACTGCCAGAATAACTAACAATGATTGCCTGGAAATGGCTAATGAAAGCAGAACTAACAATGATTGCCTGGAAATGGCTAATGAAAGCAGAACTAACAATGATTGCCTGGAAATGGCTAATGAAAGCAGAACTAACAATGATTGCCTGGAAATGGCTAATGAAAGCAGAACTAACAATGATTGCCTGGAAATGGCTAATGAAAGCAGAACTAACAATGATTGCGTGGAAATGGCTAATGAAAGCAGAACTAACAATGATTGCCTGGAAATGGCTAATGAAAGCAGAACTAACAATGATTGCCTGGAAATGGCTAATGAAAGCAGAACTAACAATGATTGCCTGGAAATGGCTAATGAAAGCAGAACTAACAATGATTGCCTGGAAATGGCTAATGAAAGCAGAACTAACAATGATTGCCTGGAAATGGCTAATGAAAGCAGAACTAACAATGATTGCCTGGAAATGGCTAATGAAAGCAGAACTAACAATGATTGCCTGGAAATGGCTAATGAAAGCAGAACTAACAATGATTGCCTGGAAATGGCTAATGAAAGCAGAACTAACAATGATTGCCTGGAAATGGCTAATGAAAGCAGAACTAACAATGATTGCGTGGAAATGGCTAATGAAATCAGAATAATATATACAAGAATGAGAAGGAGACAAAGTTCTTTGGTCATCTGATGAGAAAAGCAGCACTAGAAAATACTGTGACAACTGGAAAGATCACAAGTAGAAGAAGCAGATGCAGACCAAAAAAATTATGGTGGAAGGCTTAAGACAGTGGCATGGAGGAAATATCATCAGCGGAATTGATCCAGAACACCAAAAAGCGAATTCTGTGGAAATGCATGAACGCCTACGCCAGCTGGCAAAGCATTTGATGATAATGATGAGCCACATATGTTCTGGTTTATGTATATGCATTTAACTCGTGATCAAAAGTGTTTACTAACTAGATAGGTAATTCTTTTCCTTTTTTTCACTGTAAAGTAAAAAGTGAAGGACCCTTTTCTCCGTTTTTATTTTTTATAGTTTTTCTGCATCAAGAATAAGGTGCTAAATCTCTAATTGTATATATTAACTGACACTCAATGATTTCTGAAATGGTAATCATAGTTATAGTTACTGGATTTTTGGCCTGAGAATCCATTTTTTCTGCCTTAAAGAATCCATGCTCTTCACTGCAGGAAAAGCTCTTCCTGGTCTGACAAGACTGCTCTGGAATTTACTTTCCATTTTCAAAACAAAGACATGAAGAAAATACAAGGTAGTGGATGGGACTGATATACACTGAGATTATGGTCTGGGTCCCCTTCCCTCAAAACCCGGCTAGAAAGACTGGACTGAGTACAAAATGAGGCCTGAGACTCATACTCGGCTGCTTAAAAGACATTTCCTGCAATGCCATGCGATATGTCCTGGGTTTGCCGACAATGGCTAACAGATACAAAGTTGCACAGGTCAAGGCGTACATGAGGGTATCGGCAGAGTACTAACCACCAATTGCACTAAAGCTATTCACGACACCAAAGGAATGTGCCTTAAAAGAGGCCGCTCCCGGATGTCCAAGGCTGAAGATTTAATCCAGCAGGTATGTGACCTAGATGAGATCAGTCACGGAAAAGAATGGACAAATGCACCAGTAAAGATGCATGGCATCTCTAAGGTTGTCATCACACTGGTAAAGTACTGCAGGTATCATTCCTACAGCTGTAGACACAGAGGTAAGGGCACTGATAGATCAGCATTCACACCCAGAAGACATTATCTACACAGATTGAAACATGAAGCGCGAATCAAGGTCAGCATGGGCATACACAGCGCAAAGGATGAGAAAAACTAGAGGACACCGGCGCTTCCCATGCAACTACGTCAAGTATGACCATGGAGATAGCTGCTGCTGCTAGAGCACTCACAAGGGCAGCACAGCAAACAGCCACACATGTAGTAAATGTATCAGACTCAATGAACATGTTTCAGAAGACAGCGACAGGTGGTATGTGCTCTGAATGGGTAGAAAGCATTCAACAATCACACTTAACCACCCTCACCTGGATCTACACACCTGGTCATGCTAGCATAAAGAGTAATGAGCGAGCAGACCAACTGGCAAGCAATGCACCAATGCATGTGGAAAGAAGCAAGGACAGAGCAGATATCACTAACACTAATAATAACAAATCTCTGACACTAACACAATTGCGGGACATGGGAGTAAAGCACATCTATGCCGCCTTCGAGACCGAGATAGGAGACATTATAACCAACCTCTGATGGGCACAATTTGTAGAAAGTACCCTGGAGTGGTTGCTGCATTGGAGGATTGAGAACGCGTGGGAATGCCCGATGTGCAGTGGCGTTGATTGTGATAAAATATAACACACTGAAAAACTATTTACTAATTATTACTATTTAAATATAACAACTATATAACTAATACAGCTGTAACTTTAACTCAATGAGTGATGATGTTAACATCGTGCTCTGTACTTTTACTTCCTGGAGGAACTGAAACCATCTAGTGCAAATTCAATAATATCCATACAGCAGCTGCAGTTGAAGCATGTGAAATCCCAAGTGGAAGGAAGAGACACAGAACACCTTGGTTGAGTCAAATTGAAAAAAGAATACAAGAAAAAGGCATGAAAGCAATACCTGGCAGCCAGGAACACAGCTGAAGAAACTCAGAATAGAGGCCTAAAATATAGTGCTTAATGCAAAACAGAAATCATGGAAAGAATTTGGAGAAAAGTTGGAAAAGAATGCAAGAGAAAATCAAAAACTGTTCTACAATACCCTAAAGAACATGAGAAAGGAGAATGAGTGCCCGCCAAAATTCATAAAAGACAAGGAAGGGGCTCTGCTTACTATCATAAATAATACTATGGACGGCTCTCCTCCGAACTTCTACGCCGGCAATATGGTGACTAAACAAATACCCTAACAGGGCCTCAGTCATATGAAAAATGTGGGACTTCCTGCAACGAACAAATCGTGGCAAAACTAGGATTACCTGTCAATTTCAAGAAACGCAACACTGCAGACAATAGTAGCAGACGATAATAGTGACTGCAGACGATAGTAGCAGACGATAATAGTGACCGTTGACAATTTTGAGACGGGCAACATTACAGATGATAAAAGCGACATGGCGGGGATACAACGCAGGTTAACGATACTGTTCTTCCGATTGAGGATTTAGCAGTGGTAGATGTGAGACCTATCGATTTGCATCGAGTAATGACCGATAAACTGATCTGGTTGCAATGGCTAATAGGCAACACGCAGGTATGTTCGTCCTGCCAGGGTGCTATGTTGTTGGCAGCGTGGCAGATGGCTTCTGACAGATACTCATGCTGTTGTCGCTGTAGTACTGAGTGTAGTGTTCGCACTGACTCATTCTTTGCCAGCTGCAACATATCAACTGAGAACATGATCATGATGATGTTTTACTGGCTCTTCGATTAAACTCACCGCCGATAGTATCCCCTGCGCCGCGGATGAGGGGCTAAACTAGATGCCTGGGACTCACGAGCAAATAAATTGGAGGAAGGAAGTTGCAGGAGATGCGGTAGCTGCTGCTCGTGAGTCCCAGCCATCTAGTTTAGCCCCTCCCATCCGCGCCCCCGGGGATACTGTCGGCGGTGAGGCAGTCACAGAAACAGGTCCACAATTAACATATCGCTGAGACCCTGTTAGAGCATTTGTTTTGTTATTCAGCAGATCCTAGTTTTGCCGCGATTTGTTCCTCGGCGGGAAGTCCGACAGGTCCACATTTTTTCAGGACTGAGGCCCTGTTAGCGTATTTGTTTAGCCGCCATATTGCTGGGATAGAAGTTCGGAGGAGAGCCCTATGGACTAATGGATAGAATACTTCTCAGAGCTCCTTGATGTTGTCATGTCCCAGAAATAACAGATCTCACTACAGAGAAGGAAATCATCCATGGGGATGATAACATTCAGATGGAAGAATTTAGGGCAGCTACTGAGAAGATTCAGCTAGAAAAAGCAGCAGGACATGATGTTATACCACATCAGATGATCAAATGTATGGGACATGCAGGTGAACATGGCTACGAATGTGCTTCACTGAAGAAGAGGTGGATGGTAATCAAGAAGCACAGATAAAGGGCTCTTTTCCTTGCCTTCAGGCATACTGACTGCACATATCCGGCTAAATCTATATTTTATAGGCCAGTGAGTGAGGCGGTCAAATCTTGTCCCGTCTTTACTTCCCATGAATTTTGCTACCCAGCCCACTCAAGTCTAAAAGTTGGGTTTGTGAGGAGTTGTAAGGTAATTTAATGATAGTATCCAAATGTAAAATGTACCAGATGACTGGTTACACGTCTATCTTAGCTTAGACCATTTCCAAAACCAGCAGCTATAGATCAAACTGCTGGAAACAAAATGAGGTGAAGAAAGTAATGTTATACTTAGAAAGAATGGGCATGCTATCTGACACCATGGGCAGCTATAGATAGGCCATCAAAGGCAACAACTCAACATGGGACAATGCTGGAACGTTCTTCACATATGAATGAGATGTGTAATTTTAGTTTTCGAAAGCAAGAAACAGTGACCGCTGTCGCGATAGATCTTGAAGATGCCTATAACAGTGTTGACTTACATATCTTATGCAGTGGACTGTGGTTCGAGCCCTTGGCTAGCTAACTGGATAGGGGCAGCACTGTTGAAAAGAACAGTTTAGGAACAAAACAAAAGCTGCCGAATGCAAAACATGGTTATCGAAAACAGGTTAACTGCGACTTCTTTAATAACACACATAGACGACGTATCACACCTGTCAGAAACTTGTCTCAGTTCGGATTTCTTTTCAGATGATAAC